GCAATCCTATTCTTGCTGTCCCTGAATTGGTGTTGCTTGCTAAACAGCCAGATTGTTGGCCCTCGAGTTTTACCGAAGAGCTTTGTATAGCTCGTGGACAGCTTTTGGGCCGTCTGCAGACGTATGTTAGCCGATGGATTTACGTAGGCAAGGAGCATTCATTGTTGGACTACTCAGGTTAATGATGGCTGCAACAACACTTTGCTCGATATGTATGTCTCTGGTTGAGGTACGATTGTTATAGCCATTATGACCTTGATCAGTAGGTTCGATTATGTAATGTGCTATGGCAATAAGAGCACAAGGGAGGCAACAGCGCTGCAATTTCATATATGATTAGATTATTCATTATTCTGTTGCATCTACCATAATATTTTATTATTTTGCAGCTTATGACGATCTTGCTGTCCCCGAATTGTTGTTGCTCGCTAAACGACTGGATAGTCGACCCTCGAGTTTCACCGAAAACATTGATTACACCGATTCCATTGAACAGTCACCATCAATAGCTGCACGTAGACATCTTCTAACTCGTCTACATACGTACGTTGGCCAATGGATTGACGCTGTTCTTGCCGTCTCCTGGCCAATAGACAAGGAGCATTCAGAGTGTAGAACTACCCATGATAATATTGGTTGCAACAACACTGAGGTCGATCTGGATGCCTCTGATCGAGGGACCATTGGTACTAATGCTGATAATGGACCCTCTGCCTCGAGAATTGCTCAACTCGAGGCAACTGTACATAAAAAAATTAGGCAAGAGGATGAATCATATACATATCTAGAAACCAGCCTTAAGCATCAAAGTGAATTAGCGCCGGACACAAGTGCTAAGCCACATAGAGAATTTTCTCGGTCTATGTTTCGAGGGCCTTCTTGCAAACTACTCGAAGTTGGCATGCTATGAGAAAATTAAATACACTATCGCGGCTTTTATCACCTCTTTAGCGAATACATTTACTGTATTTTTTATCACTGATTTTTATTTTGTTAATGTTTATATTTTGCCTATTTGTTCTTATCATTTGTTGAGCTCGCGGAATTGGGCTATTTTTTAGAATGGCTTTTCAACATTGATATACCTATTTCCTTGTTTACACGTGAATCCTAATCTCCTAAAAGCGCTGCGTAAATAAGCAGACCTTATTATTTGTACATCTTTAAATAAAATTGTCCAGACTCAGAATAACTCCTTACTTTGCTTCCATAAGTGCCTTACAAATGTGGAGTGAAGAATTGTCGGGTAGCATTAAGACTCATGTACTGGATGGTAAAATGTGAAAGCCAAGGATAAATTAACAAGGCATTATTCTTGTTTATAATTATCTTTGTGTATTTATAACTACTTATATTCATCTAGTAGCATTATGGGAGTAGGAACTGTAATTCCTTTTCTCTAAACCAGATCAGATCGCTTCGTCCTGTATGCAGTTCCGTGCATTGATTATTCTATCTGGTCATAACAAATCCATATTATAAAATCCTATTACAGTTTTTTTTATTTTCCACTTTTCGACCTAAGACATTTTTACCACAAATGCTGCCATGTGCGATTCGCTTGCAGATTTACTCAGATTTGTGGAACCACCGGCCCAACTGCCCTGCATGCCACTTTGACATCGCCACGCCTCTCTTACCATTTAATATGATTAACCGCGCAGCAGGTCATTATCCTCAGGTTAATCATACTCGACCTGTGGGAATGAGCGTGATTCCCAAAACCATAGATTTTTTCTAGTTGTCGCCAATAAAGTTCGTGGTCGACGCGCATGGCTTGACTGTTTCCCACTTGTGCCCAATTTGTAGATTTCGACACTATCAGTATAACTTGGAACCTTGACGCCTATTTATTTCCTTGTGGGAAATTCAACTATTGCTCCTCACATCACTTTAAACAAACTAATGTGATTTAATCTAAGATATAAAGACCAAGATGATTTGGCCATCCTCGCATCGCAGTCTCCTTTCAATGTATATAAGCGGGTTGACCTCGTTTTCGCAACTTGGTCTTGTTGTCAGGGCGACTTAGACGCATATTGTTCAAGAGATTGACTTTACTTTTCTCTTTGACGAGTTGTAGCGTGATGCTGAGAATGGCGAGACTCAATTATGATGCCGACTACGATAGTGGCAAAACGTCGGAGAATGTACCAAGTTCATAGTTTGACACTGAGAATAATGATGCCTACTATAGCAAAGGACTTCGGACAAGGTGCGTTCAACTAAGTCGTCCCGACAACAAGACTAAATTGCGAAAATTAGTTCAACCTATTTCTAATGTGATTTAAGTTCTTAATCAGTCTCATATCAGGCAGCAAGTTGCAGACTTTAGGGTTTTCGACTTCTTCTCTAATCTATAAAATAGTGGAATCAATGTTGTTGGGTTTCGATGGGTGAACTTTTTTCCGGTCCCCTTAATATCGTCCAGATTATCGTTCGCTTTCTACATTCACGACACCGATCACTGACTGAACTTAGATTGGCCACAAAATCAATCCTCAGATGTATCAGTCTGCATCTCAGCACAACTTCGACTCGGACGAATTGAACTCTCGCAAATGTCAACCCTTAGCATCACTCTTCCAACAGCATATCACTTTTGTCTGGCTCGCTCGGTCCTGTGTATCTGTCTCGTGCTTGAAGTTATGTTTTCACAATGGCTTTTCACTGACACCAATCACCTTTGACTAGAATCGGCGCACGGTAAGTTCGTGTTGTGATAACGAGAGTAAGCCAACGCTTTTAGAGGAGTAAATTTGAGGACAGTTTCTCAAGATTTCTACTTGCCACAAAAGCACAGGCTAAAGTTGCGCTTGTATGCCAGTGGGCCTTCACCTGGCAGATGGACGACTCAAATTGACTTTTAGCGTACGCTACAAAAAGTTGTCAAAATAGTCTTCGATCAGGTGGTTGAACGAATTTTCCCGGTGATCTGATCCAGTTTGGAAAAGTTCGGACGTCGAGTTTTGTCCAACATAGTGATATTCTTTCTCGTCTTCAAGGAAGCTTTTTGGCTCAAGATGCTAGAAGAGTCTGCAAGTTCGCTGACTGGCTCTGAATGCAGGGATTTTTCCCGCCCGGATTACAAAAGAAGGCCTGGTAAGGCTGTATGAGATTTTATCGCAGGTGATTTCGTTGTCCCACGAGGATTTTTGATGTACTAGTTGCAGTGATTACACAGGAATTTTTCGTTTATAACTAGGTTTTCGGGTATAAAGCCTATGAAGTATCGCAAATAATTTTAGCGAGCCGTGTCCCATTTAATAACTATTCTACAATGCCTTTAAATTGTATGCAGAATTAACCCAAGTAATGCAAATATTGACTAGTGTCCAAAAATCTATTTAACTTGTCATTATTTTAATTGAAGATTGGGGGATATTTGCCTTGCTTTATCAGATGCTAAGCGCAAATTGTCTTTCTCCCTTGCCCCTAAGTCGGCAGTAAAATTACTTTTTATGTCGGATTGACACGAGTAAGAATTAAATTTGTGGCGGCTCTAAACTAAAAAAAGTATTTACATCGTGAAGGATGTTCTAATTAACTTTGCTGTTATTAAGACTAGCACAGCTAGTTTTGCCTGCATTGTATGGAAGACTCCATTTATCTGCAACGATTGGCCGTTTTATGACTAGCACCGTTGGTTGGTGCTGACGCTGTATTAGTTGACGAAATAGGAGCGTGTAAATTTTGCCTTTATTGTGGTCTCAGCAAACTCATGCTTAAGCGCTATCGGCTCACTTCAGCTGTCGATTCTTGGTTACAATCCTTAGATGTTCTATAATCAAGCAAATTATCTACTTTAGGACAACTCATCTCTTTCCATTATTATGTCACGGGCTCTATTAGTTCTGATCATTGTCTAATTCCAATGCGTCAACAGTCCTATTCCTCCTTCACGTCATCGAGGGAACAGAAGACCCTAAAATATATTCGAATCAGATTGGACCCGTATGATAACTGTATAAAGTTATAGATGTTGTTTGACCTTGTTTTCGCAACTTGCTCATATTGGTAGGAAGACTTAGAGGAACGCACCTAGTCTGGAATCCAGTGTCTGCATGATCATTTCCAAAGTCGGATAGTGGACGTGGTACATTCCCAGACGTTTCGCCGGCATCATCAGTGAGTCTCGCCATTCTTAGCACCACACCACAACTCATCAAAAGAGACAAGTGAACCCGATCCTATGACCAAACGTGTGCTAAGCAGTTGTGGTATATCCCCTTCTGTCGTGGGCTATTCACATTTCCTATATCCTCCTATCACACCTTTAATGTTACCATTTTTCTCTTGCTCATTTCAATCTAGTGTGGTGCGACCTTTTGGGCGGCTTTCATGACTGGCGTTCTCACCCCCCTTCACCTATGTGCTGGGAATGTTGATAAGAGCCTGTCATATTGTTACGCCGTCCTTCCCCAGGTCTTATCAGAGTCTCCCTCTTGCCTCGTAGGATCCGTCTGCTCTCTCTCTCTGGTTTGAGTATTCCACTCAATCTCTGCCACCCCATCTGTGCTACTCGAAGGGCTATTCGCCCTCCCTTGCGTCTGGGTGACTATTCGAAGCTCAAGCCTCTGACTAGGCCTCATGGTTAAACCTTTGCTGCATGGACCACGTGTATGGTAAAACAGGCCTACTGTCAGCCGACTATCCTGTTTCTATCCCTAATACCAAGTCTATGACTTCCAATGCCCCAGTCTCTTGTGCGCCAACTGACAAACGTTTTGGTCCAACCTTAAACCTAATCAAAGTAAGCAGTACCACAACATTTATGTATTGGCACACAAGAGACTAGGAAATAGAAAGTGATAGACATGGTGTTAGGGCTAGAAACAGGATAGACTCGGCGGAGACTGGAGCTAGTTGGCTGACAGTAGACCTGTTTTACCATAGACGTGGTCCATGAAGCAAAGGCTTGATCATTGCAATTTATCTGGAACTTTAGCCTGAAGTTAGCCTCTCAGACACAGTGTGGGAAATAACGCCTCGTAGACCAAATATGGGGTGGCAGGGATCGAGTGAAATACTTGAACCAGGAAGATAGCAGACGGATCCTACGGGGCAAGAGGGAGACTGTGATAAGACCTAGTGAAGGAGAACGGCGTAACAATATGGCAGACTGAGCAACAGTCCCAGCACAAGGGTGAAAGGGGGTGAGAACGCCAGAGTGGAGTGTGGAGGGTTCTTATGAAAGCCGCTCAAAAGGACACACCACACTACATTTGAATAAGCAAGGAAAACAATAAATGGTGATAGCGAAGGTGTGATACGAGGTTATAAGAAAGGTGAAAAGCCCAAGACAGGAGAGATAGGACAACTGTTTAGCACACATTTGGTCAAAGGATCGACTCCACTTTTTATCTTTGGCGAGTTGTTGTACGATGCTAAGAATGGCAAGACTCACTGACAATGCCGGCGAAACATCTGGGAATGTTCCACGTCCGTTGTCAGACTTTGGAAATGATCATACATACAATAGACTGCGGACTAGGTGCGTTCCTCTAAGTCTTCATACCAATATGATCAAATTGCGAAAACAAGGTCGAACAACTTCTATACAATGTAGTAAAAATGCGTTTGCTTCATCAAAACTCACATCAAAGAATGCGATAACGGAAAAGGCCTGTTCTTCCATGAAATTGACATCTGCCCTGTCACCTGGGCAACTCGTGGCAATTCGTCCAAGTGGTTAACATGTCAAGCTCACATTCTGCACTGTCACGGTTCGACTCCCACAGGGGGTGTTTATAAGACCGCTGCGAGGTCGAAACTGCAGTCCACTCTGCATGGATGAGAACAATTTTGGGGAAAGCAAGGCAATGGGAAATACAATGCAAACGTCAGCTCTGGTGACACAGGATTGATTTTACTTCATATCTGACATGAAAAATCATTGCCATTCAATTT